TGTTGATCCAGCCATAAAGAACCTTGTTTAGGGACTTCCTGTTTTTAGGTGACAACATCTTTCAGGTAATATTGATGGCCAGCACATACAGTAACATGCCAATCTGCAGCTTTCATGCAAATTATCCCACTATGAAGAACCTCGTTTATGGACTTCCCGGTATAATTGTTTATAGACTTCCTGGTATAAGGTGACAATATCTTCCAAATAATGTTGATTGCCAACACTTCAGGTGTATTGGCAAGGAGCAAACAGATGGATCGCTACACCTTTGATTATGATCATGATCTCACAAGGTTCCAAATGCGTGCAATCAATCCCTACTTCAAATTGCTTCATGCAGACAATATACGTTACTCCATATAGAGCCATTTGTCCCAAATGTGTTCTGAGCAATGTTGACATTTAGCAGATTTGGGAGCGCAGACGTGCTACAAAAAACACCTGTGTGCTCCCAGCCTAGAGCTGCTCAACGACTTTGGAGGGGGAATGTTTGTGACGGGACTCGGGGCAAGCTGCCTGTGGAGGGCTCCATAAACATCTGAATTGAGAGGGGGGAAGTGTAAGCACCACATTCTAACCACTTTGATTGACTGTACCACCTGATAGCACCTGTCTGTCTGGTTCAGTTTCAATCGAAGACATGACAACGTTGTGTAAAATGTCTAAGAACAGGAATGTCCCTTTTGGGCGTCCAACACCTTTCACAGTCAATTGTGAGATTTACACCATCTCATGCCACTATATGCTGTATGATCATTTTTGGTTGGCTTTCCCTTTCAAATTCAACTTGTGTAGCCCGCCTGCTGATCAGATGTGTAAAGCCAACCATATTCCATTATGTAACTGGATTCCCCCATCCACGATTCTTTAGAATCTATCCTGTCATCTATTGTATTCCTTGCCATGGTCTTTTTCATTGCACTATATTTAATTCTTTATGGATTACGCTATATTTTTATACTTTCTATGAATTCCTCTATATTTATTACTAGGTATGCACCCATACCGATACTAGTATTGGTATCAGTGCCGAGAATTTGGGCGAGTACTCAAACTCACCCAAATGCTCCGATGCCTAGCCCAATACTTGAGCTTCTGGTATCAGGAAGCCGGGCAGCGAGTCATTACACTCTGCCCTGCTTCCTGATTGGCCGGAAAGCCGTCTCCATGCTCACTCATCACTTGTAACGAGAGAGCATGGAGCCAGCCAATCAGGAAGCCAGGCAGCGTGTTATTACACGACCCCCGGCTTCCTGATTGGCCAGAAAGCCGGCTCCATGCTCTCTCGTCATATACACCGCGATCTCGCCATCTGACGAGGGAAAGTAAGTTGGAAAGTCCACTTTTGTTGAGACGGGTGGTGCCGATGTGACCAGCAGAAAACTTTCACCAGATGAGAAATTAGGGGAGATCTCAAGCAGCAAGACAGATGGAAATGCAATTTGGAGTAGAGTAGGGAAGACTAGAACAGACATGTAAGCTGTGGAAAAATTTGGTTCGGATATTTAGTTATTTTGGGATTCGGATCCGAAATTCAATTCCGTTCGGATGAAATCGTTAGTTTCGGATAAGTTTACGAATATTCGTTGCGAATACCACAGAAAACCATATACATATATTAATACTAAAGCTGAATCTCCCAGACCCGATTGGCATTCGGGATCTGAATTTCCGAATTGTATTCGGGAGCTCCAGAAAGCAATGCGTGTCTGGGAGCCATTGAGGCTTCCAGACCCGAATGGCATTTGGGAGTTCTCAAATGCTATTCGTAAATTGGTATTCGGGTCTTGGAGCATCAGTTTTAGTATGATGTATATAAAAGTAGTATTACGTAGTGGCAACATTGTGACCCATATAGACATAAAACTAAGCCAGAGTCTCCCAGATCCGAATGGCATTCAGGAGCTCCCAAATGCAAAACGAAAATTCGGATTTAGACCCATTCGGATGCATTAAAGGAGAACTATGGGGTTAGTGCTTTTCCCCATAGTTCTCCTAGGGGCAACGGGAGGACACAAACTAGCGTTCTCCCGTCACCCTAAGCTCAGTATACCGCGAGCTACAGCTCGCCGGAGCGGATCCCAACGTCGATGTCGAGATCCGCCCAGCTTCGTGAGTGACAGCTGGATCTGCCTATCTAGAGGCAGAGCCAGCTGTACCCGCCCCCTCCCGATCCGCCAGTCAGAGCTGGCGGATCGGAGCAGGGAGGGGGGAATCCAGCCCCTCCCCTGTCACGGCAGAGAGCCGTGACAGGATCGTGAAGTGAGTGAACGCCGGTATGTGTTCGCTCACCTCCCGATCTACTGAGCCGACCTTTGACAGTCTCATTGTCACAGGTCGGCTAGAACTATGAGGTGAGTGAAAAGCACTCACCTCATAGTTCTCCTTTTAAACAGAGAAACAAATCTTAATGGCCAGAAAAGTCACATGTTCAATTTCGTGTTTGAACACAATTCGGAGGGGATCCGATATTCGGAAACGGAAATTCGGATGCATTGGGATTCGGAAATTTGAATGTCCGAATTTTGAAAAATTTGTCTGAATTTTGATTCGGAACGAAACGAATCGCATTTGATTCGGAACGAAAAGACCACATCACAAGGGGGGTGCAGCCCATACCCGGGTTCCACCATTGGTGGGGTGACACCAAAATGACTGACAGTCATTTTGGTGTCACCCCCTATGAAAAGTCGGGCACTCGGTCACGGACCGAGAGCCCGACAGTGCCCGGAGAGAGGAGGGGACCCGATGGCATACCTTATCCCGCTGGGTGAACGTCCCCTCCTCTCTCACCAAGATGGCTGCCGACAGGTATCAATAAGATTGCCGCGCATGCACGGTGATGTCATGGTGGGGTATCACCCAGTAACCGTCAATAAGACCACCGCGCATGCGCGATGATGTCATGGCGCACGTGCACGGCAACGTCACACGCATGCGCAATGATGTCACGGCGGGGTGTCACTCGGTCTCCACCCCCGGTGACACCCAGCCTCGGGACGCCCCTGGTCTAGACTAGAATCCCCGTCAGTTGTTTTTGCTGCATGTGACCCTGTTGCATATTTTTACTTGCATACCGCCTGCAAAACATAATGCACATGTGGTTTTTCCCATGTGCGCTGCGCTACAATGTACATGGTTTTATGTCATTCAGCTAGGATCTACATCCCCTTTACCTGTTTTGGATTGACTTGCACTTTACATTTTGTGCAGCTCTGGGGACTTTTACCAATGTATTTGTTAATGGCATGAACCGCATTTTTACAACTTACTCGTCCTTTAAGCTTTCCGCGTTACAATGAACGCACAGCTTGGCTGCTCGAGGATTGTCGCCAGGAAAACAGGTTTGAGAAGTCACATTAATTCTCCAACTAAAACTATTCATCAGTCATGCCTGCTGTTGTATTTTAAGAAGCGTTTTGTGCCTAAAATACATCCACAGTGCAAAACATATTATTTCCAGCCCTACAGTGGGCCTATTTAAAGCGATTTACTGGCGAGCTCTAAAGACGGCAGATTAGGGTACTTTGGGAAGTTGGTTAAATAGAAATTACTGACATAACATGATAAATTATAAGACAGGCTGAGGAGTTGCGACCTACATTACAAGAATGAGCCATTATAGGTCCCTATAACATTTTTACGGTGATGGCGGCTCCGAAGAGAAAAGAGCGCATGTGTGTTACGAGGTTAATGATTGCACGATTGTAAAATGCAGGCGGTGACTTTTTACCTGTTCCAGAAAGTGCAGGCGGAAGCGCTTTACCTCTTATAGAAAGTGCAGGTGGAGGAGCTTTACCTCTTATAGAAAGTGCAGGCGGAGGCGCTTTACCTCTTATAGAAAGTGCAGGCGGAGGAGCTTTACCTCTTATAGAAAGTGCAGGCGGAGGCGCTTTACCTCTTACAGAAAGTGCAGGCGGAGGTGCTTTACATCTTACAGAAAGTGCAGGCGGAGGTGCTTTACATCTTACAGAAAGTGCAGGCGGAGGCGCTTTACCTCTTACAGAAAGTGCAGGCGGAGGTGCTTTACATCTTACAGAAAGTGCAGGCGGAGGTGCTTTACATCTTACAGAAAGTGCAGGCGGAGGTGCTTTACATCTTACAGAAAGTGCAGGCGGAGGTGCTTTACATCTTACAGAAAGTGCAGGCGGAGGTGCTTTAGCTATTACAGAAAGTGCAGGCGGAGGTGCTTTAGCTTTTACAGAAAGTGCAGGCGGCGGCCCTTTACCCGTTACGGATAGAGTAGGCGGTGGCTTTTTACCTGTTACAGAAAGGGGAGGCGGTGCCACTTTAGCTGTTATAGAAAGTGCAGGTGGTGGCACTTTACCTGTTACAGAAACCTTCTTAATTGCCCTGGAATCCGATCTATGCTGTTTAGCCGGTGTTCTGAAGTGATAGAACACCAGCTCCATGCTGATTGGCCGGGAAGCCGTCTTCCCAGCCAGTCAGCATGGTGCCAGCTTCCTGGCCAATCAGGATGCTGGAAGACGGGTCGATACTTGCTGCCCAGCTTCCTGATTGGCTCCATGCTGTTTGTCTGGCTCCATGTACCCCCACGGCACTGCCGGTCAGAGAAAATGTCGCTCTGACCGGAAGTTCCGGTATCGGGGGTGAGTATCAGAGCATTTGGGTGAGTACGAGTATAGGTATCAGTGCATCCCTAATAGATACAGTACATTGAGTGATTGTTGTCACTGTAGGACAGGAAGTGTGCTATTTGCAGGACCACCAGGTGAAAATAAAGGGGAAACATTCTGAATAAAGGAAATAGGCTCCTAGGACTGGTAGTCTGGAGGACAATGCGTCATTTGTGTTCTTGGGTTCAGATTTATTGAGCCGGTAAAGTCCAGTGTGACTTCTGCCTAGCTACAAGCGACGCCATGACCAAGCCGCCCTCCCATTGGCCAGCAGGGCGACTTTACAAACTCGGTGCTTGGGGATTAGGCTCAGCCCAAGTCATTCCTCCTCCTCCTGTTGTGTGTCACATGTACTCATTGCCTGTTCCAGGAAGCTGAAAGTTATAACACAACAAAGGAGCCCGACAAGCAGCAGCAGGATGGAGTATTTGGCGTGCTTCTCCCTGATCTCTGTGATCTGTACCCTGGCCGGGAATGGAGGTGAGAACCAGACTTCAACTTTCCCAAACTTTCCCGGATCTCCCAATAGAACTTTTTAGAGAAACTTTTATAAGTCGAGCTGTAAAGTCTGACTTGTGGATAGAGCTGGGAGGCAGCCCCGGATCTTCCTGGTTAATCATTCGTCTTCCTCGAAGTTGTTTTTGTTTTGTTACATTGTGTGTCTTTTGTTTCCTTTACGCTTATTTGTTTGTTTAAAGAGAATCTAAAGACAAACTATTTCCTTTGTGTGTTTTGGATCGAGTCGGGAATGTTGTAGTAAACATTGTAACAGTGTTACTTGTTTCCACTTTCCAAAAAAGTTAAAAACTTTAATTATTTTAACATTTTCTTAAAGGAAACGTTCACAGCTGAGTGTTTTGTAGCTGGAATGCCAATAAGGCTCCACAGAAGGAATCCTCATTGTGTTCTATGGCCCCTGTTTACATAAGAGCGTTCTGCCGCTTGTAGGAAGTATATGAAACTCATTGGGGCAGAGTGACGCATTTTGGCTTATCTAGTTAATAGGCAAGGAGACTCGCGTCACGCACATTTCACGCATTTTCAGGCATTTTCAGGTGCTCCTATTGGAGACACTGAACTCAGGAGTTGAATCTTAAAAATGTGTTCAAGCACCTTTTAGGCCTCGTTCACACTGCCGCGCATATACACGCGTATTGTGCCACATGCAAATAAATGGCTCCATACACATAGCTGCGTATGGAGCTGTATATTTGCGTAGCGGAAAAATCCGCAAAAACAGAATAGAACCGAGATGCGTCCGGGCAGCGTATTATACGCCCATATACGCGTGTTTGCGCGTGTATACGCACGTACGTAAGTACGGTACATTCAAATTTATATTTTGAATGATGCATTCCGGGGTTGCATATAGTGCACGCATATATGCGCGTACATACGCACATGTAAGCGTGTATACGCAATGTACAATGTTGCTCTTGCGTTGTTTGTGAAATGAGGCCTAACTCAGTGGCGTCACTAAGGGGGTACAGGGGGTGTGGCCCGCACCCAGGTGACACCATTGGAGGGGCGACACCAAAAGGACCGTCCTTTTTGTGTCGCTCCCTCTGAAAAGTCGTGCATGAGACGAGAGCCCGACAGTTGCACGAGAGAGGAGCACAAGTTATGCCGCCGGGTGAACGTCCCCTCCTCTCTCTGCCAGCGTCCATCACCATGATGGCTGCTAGCAGGTATCACGAAGACGGCCGCGCATGCGCGTGATGTCGTCATGTCCGCGTGCAATGATGTCACGGCGAGATGTTATGGGTGCCGGGTGACACCCGGCCTCGGGATACACAAATAAGATACAGCAATGTATCTTATTTGTATATCACTGGGCTGTAGATCCTCAAATCCTCTCTGAATTGGTACCCACGCTGTCCCCCCTTCTGGAGGGGGGCTACTTTTGTTCCCCATGGTCCCTGTGTGTGTTGTAAAGTAGTCACCGCTCCAAGCTCGCTCCCGGGATGGACTACAATCTCATGTTTAGTTTACTAATTTGTATTGAGATTGTAGTCTATCACAGGAGTGAGCTTGGAGTGGTGGCTACTTTTGTTCCCCATTGTCCCTGTGTGTGTTGTAAAGTAGTCACCACTCCAAGCTCACTCCTGTGATAGACTACAATCTCAATACAAATTAGTAAACTAAACATGAGATTGTAGTCCATCCCGGGAGCGAGCTTGGAGCGGTGACTACTTTACAACACACACAGGGACCATGGGGAACAAAAGTAGCCCCCCTCCAGAAGGAAGGACAGTGTCAGTATGAATTCAGAGATGATTGGAGGATCTACAGCCGAGTGATACACAAATAAGATACATTTGTTGTTAGTAGTTGAGGTTCTTCAAATTCATTTTCAAGATTCAACTCCTGAGTTTAGTGTCACTTTTAATACTCTTCAATATGAAGTGCTTGAAATGTGCGTGACGAACGTTTTTCACGAGTCTCCTCGCCTATTAATTAGCTTTCTGTTGGCTAACAATGGTAATAAAACAACACCTGTGATACAAACGCCTGTAAAACTGTTAAAGAGCTCAAGTGTAGCTAACCATAGACAAATAGATTTTGTTTCTCTTCATCCCGCAGTCTATAAATGAGAAAAATCACTCGATTTCCCCATCCACGCCTAGCATGGACAGAGGAATCTCTCCTGCCGGGGATTGTATTCAGCCAGCAGCAGCACCCGCGGCTGTCTGAATACCCGGACACAACCAGCATCTGATGGGACGCAGACACTGTTCGGAGTCTAATTTTCCGCCCGGCTCCATGAAAATCGTCTGATAGAGATGAAAAGTTGGCTACCAAACAGTGTCTGCATCCTCTCCGATGCCGGGTATTTCCAGGTATGTCGGAGTGCTGGCAGGGTCACCTGCGGCTCATATTTGGGCCGATTCAGGAAGCCCTCGTTAACACTTGAGATTAGGCGTTTTCAGGTGACTTTGAAGCATGTTTTCCTGCGTTTTGAAGTTTGAGCATTTTAGCTTTAGCCAATGGAGAGCTAGTTACTAGGAGGAGTTGTTAGGAGGCAAGTCGCACAAATAAGTGCATTATGCATGTCTTTCAGGCGTTTTCAGGTGTTTATTCAAGTCTATGGGTCCCAAAATGCCCGAAAAAAGATCATGTACCTGACCAAATCATGACAAGCGTCACGGGGCTCGGGGTGCTCAGCATGTCTGAGCTTTTCCTCGGCGCACATCAACGCAATGCTTTGGCGTGAACTGGGCAGTAGACAGCAATAGTATTTGCTGCATCCTTGTGTTGAAGAACTCATTAGGTGTAAACAAGCCCTTGAGGCAGGGGTAGCCAAATGTCAACCATCCAGCTGCGGTGAAACTATAAACTCCATCATGCTTCTGGAAGTCATGCCTGTGGCTGTCAGTCATGCAATGCTTTATGGGACTTGTAGTTCCGTAACAGTAGGAGGGACGAAGAGCGCATGCATCCTTATTACCCTCCTTTCCTCTGATTTAACCTAACCCACCACATCACCCCCCCCCCCCCCCCCCATAGATGCATGCTTACCTTGATGTGACAGCTGCGGTTCTGCTGTTTGTTTACATCCAGCGCCCTCTGCCCCCCCACTGTCCTGGCCATGCCTGCTCCTAGTGCAACGTTTATAGGCAGGGCCAGATTTACTCTCTCTGCTGCCCCAATGCCATGTTCCTCAATGCGCCCCCCTGTATGCATTGCCGAGATCACATGTACAAAACAAGCAGCGGCTTCCCCGCTGTACATTTAGCTCTGCTTGCCCGAAGCATGGCTAAATGTAGAAAACTACTACCTGCCCGGTGCCCGGAACTGCATGTCCTGGGCGTCGGGAGAGAGGAATCCCACACCCCTGCTGCCCCTCTACTCCCTGCTGCCCCGAGGTCGGGCCTCGGTTGGCCTTGTGGGAAATCCGGCCCAGTCTATAGGACTATCTTCCATCATCTCTGGTCTGGGGACACAGCCCTATAGAAGCCTATGAGACACTAATACACAGACGTGACCAGGACAGGGAAGACTTGCCCTTCAGCAGCTCTGGGTGCCGGATGGAAACTCAGCCATCCAATCGGGGGTATCTGTGGTGGGGGAGGTTAAGTCAGGGGGGCAAAAAGCATACATGTGATTAGTTTTAAAGTGCACTGATGCTTCAAAAGAGTTCAACAACTGAGACTTTCACATCAGGAAATGACACTGACACTATAGTAAAAGAGCAATTAGAGCGCACAGGAGAACAAATGGTCGGCTTAAACAGTAACTGGATACAAAGTGTCGGCTGGAGGGTCTGAACCTTTTTCCTCTCTCTGGACAGAGAGGGGGAGGAGAAGAACGTTTGGGGTTTTACTGCTATGTGTGGCACTATTAGAAAGAATTCTCTTCATTTATCCTCCCGGTGACAACGGTTTCAGCAGACAGGAAGTGAGGGACAATGGTAAGGAAAAACCCAAAATGTTTGATATAATATATAATGTATATATATATGCTGTCTGTGTCACCATTGCAGAATTTTCCCTAACTTCCTGCCTGGTGGCAAGTCAAAGTTTCCCCATCACTTTAAGCCTTGGTGACCGTGATCACCGGGACAAATCCAGCACATAACAGGTTCTCACCACTCGTTCCCAACCTGCGACCCAGGAGCCACATGTGACCTTTTTTTATACTGTAGTCTGTGCTTCCTTGTTGTCATGTAATAGCAGTGAGCTCTAGCAGTCTCATGTAATATCTCTCCAGTCTATGTCTCCTGAAGCATGCCCCTAGTCTCCAACAATTACCATAGCATGTCTGCAGTCTCTGACCACCTCTTGTAGCATGTCTGCAATCTCTGACCAACTCTTGGAGAATGTCTGCAGTCTCTGACCATCTTTTGCAGCATGTCTGCAGTCTATAACCATCTCTTGTAGCTTGTCTGCAGTCTCTGACCAAATCTTGGAGAATGTCTGCAGTCTATAACCATCTCTTGTAGCTTGTCTGCAGTCTCTGACCAAATCTTGGAAAGTTGACCACCACGGCTCTAACCCATCCTTACTCTACCCCACAATAAGTTTGGGTTTTAGATCCTCTTAATGACAATAGAATATGCAAACAAGTCACTTGTAAGCAGAGCAGGGCAATGGCCGCCTCGTGACAATTAGAACTTTGTTACGCCATTATAAAGGACCATAAACAGGTCTTTTTGCTGAACCAAAACAAAGGCTTTCCTTGTTGTATTTGTACAAATGCCTTGAAAATGGTGAATCGCTCCCACCGGCATTCGCAGATGTATACAGCGGGGCCCTCGGCATTGATTGTGGCTTCGTAGTAGTCTTTGTTAGTCAGCAAATCTGGGCGCTGGGGAACCGGTTTGAGTCATGAAGCTGTAATGACCCGCCCCTCCCAAGGACATCTTTCTTTGATGGTCCCACATTGATAAACCAATCGCCACCCTTTCAGTTTCCAGGTTAGAAAATTAAAGGGCCACTCCACCC